GTTGATTACAGAAAACAAATGGTGTTGATAATGGTAAATAAGATTGATTGTTTGTTGGTTGCTTAACGTCCAGTGGCAAATATTTCACGCATATTCAGGACGAGAATAAATTAACAATAAATATAATAGGTAGGTTCTGTAAGAGGGGCGTCCGGGATTAGGGCGGAGAAATTTAGACTGCCACGGGGAATGAGGGTATATTGGATAGGGACAGAAATTTAGCCTTGCAACAGGTCACCTACGGACCCCTCAAAGAGTTGATGCAATGGTTCTTATCCCAAAGAGCGTGGCACTTTCTTTACACGAGGCATCGGATTTAACGTCCCCATTCTGACCGGACGTGGCTGCAAATTTGTACATCCCGCACAGCCAAACGGACGCCCCACTTTAGCAAGGGTTTTACTGCCGGTCGTAGGAAGACCTGTAGTGACCATACTTCTATTCCCCAGTCACCCTTGGGGATGGTAAATAAGAAGAATTTTCAGTAACAAAATTAATCACATATAATATTTACGCCACATTCTATATGTCAACTGCAAGTATACTATTAAACATGTTTTAATTCATTGTATTGACTTTGCTGATATTCGGAAGAAGCATTTCAATGTCAATAATATGTATGATTTATTTAATAATGTTCCATTTACAAATATTGTTTCATTCTTAAAAGAAATTGGAATATATTATAAAATATAAAAAATGTTGTTATATTTATAACGATTTTAATTTTTATCACGTTATCTTAGTGTTGATTTTTATTTGTAAATAATCAATTTGCTTTAGTCTAGAATTTTAGTTTATTGAAAGACCTTTTGTCTGATTTTAAAAATATACCTTAAATTGTTATAATATTCGAATTGGGTCTCGCCGCGATATAGCCTTTCTGTGCTAATGCGGCGTAAAGCAAACAACAATTAATCAATCAATCTATTCCCCAGTCACCCTTGGGGGATGGTAAATAAGAAGAATTTTCATTAAAAGAACCAACCACATCCAGTAACAAAATCAATCACATATAAAATTTACGCCACATTCTATATGTATGTGCCTGTCCCAAGTCAGTCGTTTTGTGCTGTTACATATTTGCTTTTCGTTATTTTTTTGTATATTAATTAGGCCGTTAGTTTTCTCGTTTGAATTGTTTTATATTTGTCATTTCGGGGCCTTTTTAAGCGGACTATGTGGTATGGTCCTTGCTCATTGTTGAAGGCCGCACGGTGACCTATTGTGGTTGATTTCGGTGTGATTTGATCACCAGCAAAGAGTTGTCTGATTGGCATTCATACAAAATATTCTTGTAATATATTGACAAACAAAAAAGACTTTCGTTTATGAATATTTCTGTTACTAATGAAAGACACGATACTTAAATTTACACTTAATACCAATTGATTGATTGTTGGTCTACTTAATGTCATATTGCAAATATTTCAAGCATATTCCGGACAAGACCAAATACTTTTAGGTACTGTAATTGTTTTGAAAATTAAGAGTTTTACCGGAAAATGAAGATAAAGTTGATATTAGCTGAAATGTTGTCTTGTGAGTCGTCTCAAAAAGTTGTTTTCAGTGTTCTGAACAAGGCATTGGATTTAAAGTCCCCATTCTGCAGGACGTGGCTGCAAATTTGTACATCCCGCACAGCCAAACGGACGCCCCACTTTAGCAAGGGTTTTACTGCCGGTCGGAGGAAGACCAATGGTGACCATACTTCTATTTCCCAATCACCACTGGGGGATGGTAAATAAGAAGAATTTTCATTAAAAGAACCAACTACATCCAGTAACAAAATCAATCACATATAAAATTTACGCCACAATCTATATGTATGTGCCTGTCCCAAGTCAGTCGTTTTGTGCTGTGTTACATATTTGCTTTTCGTTATTCTTTTGTATATTAATTAGGCCGTTAGTTTTCTCGTTTGAATTGTTTTATATTTGTCATTTCCGGGCCTTTTTAAGCTGTCTATGTGGTATGGGCTTTGCTCATTGTTGAAGGCCGTACGGTGACCTATTTTGGTTGATTTCTGTGTGATTTGATCACCAGCAAAGAGTTGTCTGATTGGCATTCATACAAAATATTCTTGTAATATATTGACAAACAAAAATGACTTTCTTTTATGAATATTTCTGTTACTAAAGAAAGACACGATACTTAAATTTACACTTAATACCAATTGATTGATTGTTAGTTTGCTTAATGTCATATTGAAAATATTTCAAGCATATTCCAGACAAGACCAAATACTTTAAGGTACTGTAATTGTTTTGAAAATTAAGAGAATTACCGGAAAATGAAGATAAAGTTGATATTAGCTGAAATGTTGTCTTGTGAGTCGTCTCAAATAGTTGTTTTCAGGGTTCTGAACAAGGCATTAGATTTAAAGTCCCCATTCTGCAGGACGAGCATTACTGCATACTTACAAGTACATCCCGCACAACCAAAACGGACGCCTCACTTAGGCTAGACCAGTCAGAAGTCTGAATTGGCCATTTTTTTCCCAAGTCACCTTTGTTTGGAACTACAAAAGAAATTATATTTCATTTCCAATTATTGATTAATCATTTTGAGATGGGAATGTTCCTCAAGTCTGACCTTACGATATGTCATTTTCATGTTGTGTTTGATATGCCTGTTTATGCCGCCTTTTTTGGATTTCATTGAACGCAGTCTTGAAATGATATATTTAATAACAATACTATTCAAACATTTACAAAATTCTTTCACATTTTATTAATTTATTACTAAAATATTATGCCGGGAAATTCCTTTGTTTTTAGTAGGAATTAAATCAATTTTTGTATTCATTTATTTTATAGAGATTTCTTCATAGAGAAAATCCACCAAAGGGAACCTTTTGGAGAAAGGGGGATGATTTACATACGGAGATTGAGGGAAAGGAAAAAGAAATACGCCTTTCCCTCTACCAAGGACTCTTGAGGAGGGAGGAAAGAGAACAATAAAAATCTTGAAACACATTGTTGTTGGACTATTTGGATTAATGTTTTCTTATGATATGTAATCATGTTCGTACTTGTTTTACAACTGTCCTCAAATGTGGACAGTTTTAGGACCGTGCATAGTCTTGATGCATATATACTGTACAATAACATCTGGTTAACACATCAAATGGGTGAAATCTCTTCGTTCTTGTTGTGCTATAATCTGGATAATGCACAGCAAAAGTGTGCAACTTTAACTACCTCAAACAGGGCGAGGGATAATAAGCTGCAGATCAATTGTTTAGATGCGACAGTCTTAAAAATTACAGTAGAAAAAAATTGAAGGGGGAACGGGGGAATTCAAAGATTGAAAAGTGAAACATTTTTTTTCTGTTTACTTAATATTTCAAATATTAGTAAATTTCTCCTCGATTCACTTCCTCTTAGCATATTATTGAGGGAAAGAAAGTAAATTAATATACTCAATAACCCTTTCAGTTATGATTTTTCATACATCGATTTAAAAATACACAAAACGGAACTACAGGAGATGTAGGTTGTACGTCAATAAGTCAGCAAGCAAATGACAAAAAAAAACCAAACTAATGACTACTAACACAACGTATAGTATTGTTTTCAACAACAGATAGGCGTCCTACGTTGTTCGGGTTATTTAGGGTCACCGGAGGCGTGCAGATTAAATGATGTATACGGACTTGATTGGTTAATAACTAGAACATGTAATTAACTTGAATATCCTTGTTAAAAATTGATGTGCATGTGCAATAACCTAGCTTACATTTCTTTTTATTCAAATTAGTAAAAACGAATGATGCCTTAATACCCTAGAATTATTCAGCTCTTCGTTCAAAATTGTCCTTCAATATTAAAATCACACAAATAAAAAGATATCAAAATCATAAAGTCGGTTTACAATTTGTTCTCGTTGAATACAAAATACTAATGTTGAGTATTTCAAAACATTTCTTAAAAAAAGAACGATTTTTTTTTAAAAATTAATCAATTGTCAGATACCTGAAATACAATTTAATCACGAACATTTTAACTTTTTTTAAAAATTGTCAAGTTCTCCCTGCATGCTTAGTTTCATAACCAAAAAATCATGAAAACTTCATCTGTATTGATATGAAGTCAACATGGGTATCGTCTCCACAAAATACTCCATGGAAATACACTGCAAATATTAGACATTACAATGTTAAAGGACAATGTCTGCGTGTGTCACTTTAAATGAGATATCCCAAAAAAATGGTTAAACTAGGCCAAGAGATATTGATAGGTGTGTACTTTCTTAAAAGTAACTTTGAAAATATAACCATACAATATAGTCAATGTACCAGAAAAAAAACTTTGTATCTAGTAAGGAAATATGTGAACTTTACATTTAAGACTGGATTTGCAGTTTAAGTAGTTCAAACAAGTAAACTGTCTTATCATTATAACCACTGGTTGACGTTTAAACAGTAACAGTTCTGATATGGACTTCTGTATAATCTATAGTTTAATGTGGTAATAAAAACAAGGACATGTGGTAGGATTACAATCTTTCAACCAAAGAACAAGAGTAACCAGTAATCATAATATAATTTACATTTGAGGTCAGCAAAAGTGTAAGTTCGCCACATTTATATGGGTCTGTCCAAAGTCCAAAAATGACATAGTGCCATTGGTATGTAATTGTGTAGTTTAGCATTTACTTTACTGAATGAAATTTTGACATTGTGTTGCACGTCAGAATAGTATTACCATTTTAATTTTTGTTGAAAAAAATTATTGCATGGCATGGACTACCTACTGTTAAAGACTGTGGCATTGTGACTTATAAATGACATTGTGAAAATCTGCTTTTCATACACATTAACAATGAGGATATAATATTGCATGGAAACTCAAATCTCTGTTAGTGTAACACTCCTTACCTTTAGGAGACACATCTGTTCTAGCTGACGTGTCTATTTGAATATTCAACTTTAACATTAAAGCAGCAGCCAAAAATTAAACAAGATATAAACAAGGTTAATAAGATATATAAACAAAATGCAGCGTAAGCATGTGGTTCATCGAAAAACTTTCAAGGCAAAATGCAAAGTTAAATGAAAGAATACTTAACAAAAACCATCTTACAATAGTATAGTTCTTAGATGACTTTTTGATTAGGTATAAAATATGAATACTATTTCATTACTGAAAGTTGATTGAAATGTTCAGAACTGAAAAACTACTACACTTTACAGTACTGAAAAATGACTGAAATATTCAGTACTGAAAAATGACTGAAATATTCAGTACTGAAAAATGACTGAAATTTAAGCCGAAAACCAAAATACAAAGTTATCAAAATCTAAATTCTTAAAAATGAGACCAAAGAATGTAAAATTACAGAACCAGAGAAAACTAATCCAGTGTCTATGTGAATATTGTGAAAATGTGAATTTGAAAATCACAGCATTTAACAATTTTGCAGTACGTAAGAATCAACAACAGCTTAGAATTAAGTTAGATTCGTAGAGATAAGTACGAAGCTATTAATATGATTTTATGCGAAAAAAATAGGGAACAATTTAACAAAATTACTTGTATAGAAGGAAAGTGTGTGAATTGTGGAACAGAGAATCTAAGTAAAAGAATGGAACCTCTTATCATAGCTAATGAAGAAATAAAATGGCAAAAATGGGATTTTGTGAATGTACCAAACCACAAAACAGGAAAAGAAATTAAAAAAAGGCAGTTGGTTACATTTTTCAACCCAGCACAACAGTTGTTTGTTCAACTATTGGATGAACTGCAGTTCCTACTATATCATTTGTTTGTTGCCAGTTGGCAACAAAATCAGTTTAGACAATTAAACAATAGACCCCCAGAAAAAACTGTTGTCCTCACAATGGATTTTGCAGAAAACTTTTCTTGCTTTTCTCAAAATGAAATCCAAGGCGCCCATTGGGCCAAAGACTCAGTTACAATACATCCAGTTATAGCAAGATATCAGTGCAAAAACCAAGAATGTAATAATTCAATGGTAGATGACATCATTGACATCATCAGTAATGATTTACAACATGATGTACATGCAGTTCAAAAATTTACAGAAGTGATTATAAATTTTTTGAGGGAAGAAAGAGGAATAGATGTAGAAAAAATGTTCATTCTTTCAGACGGATGTGCTGCCCAGTACAAGTCTAAGGTGGCATTTTTAGATTCCAGCATGTCAGAGGTGGACAATAATATCAAATCAGAAAAGGCATTTTATGGCTCCAGGCATGGATTTGATTTTTTGATATTTGGTGTTTTAACGCCACTTTTAAGCACCGCTTTTGGGCTATTTCGTGGCGGGCAGTTTTTATTGGTGGAGGAAGCCGGAGTGCCCGACCTTCGATAGGAAAACTGACAATCCTAGTCAATTAAGATTGGAGTCGAGTGCACCCGCACGAGCAGGGTTCGAACTCACAACCTCAGTGTTGACTGGCTAGTGATTACAGTAGTAACTACTTAGACCACTCGGCCACCGAGGCTCCTCTTCAGGCATGGAAAGAACAGGTGTGATAGAGAAGGGGGGGGGTAATAAAATCGAAGGCAGCAAGAATAATAAGGAACGGAGGATTGATCAACTCTGCTAAGGATTTGTATCAACAGTGTTTATGTTTGCAGAAAGAACTTACAAACCCTGATGGAACTTGTAACCATAATATACGAAAATTAATTTGGGTTGAAAGAAGCAACATACGACATGTAAGACCAAACAGAGTATGTAAAACAGTTAAAGGAACCCGAAGTCTACATTCTGTGAGGGGTATCGGACCAGGACAAATTCAAGTCAGGAAACTGACTTGTTTTTGTGGTTTTTGCACTGCCACTGAACATGCTGAAGGAACAAGTTCAACATGCGAGAATGAGGCAGTTGTTGGTGCATGGAGGAGTGTAAACTTGAATGGTTTCAACATGCTAAACAGGAATGATGAAGAGCAAGACATTGAAAACAGGAATGATGAAGAGCAAGACATTGAAAACAGGAATGATGAAGAGCAAGACATTGAAAACAGGAATGATGAAGAGCAAGACATTGAAAACAGGAATGATGAAGAGCAAGACATTGAAAACGAACAAGATAAAAGAGATGATGATGATGATGAAATAGTAACTGAAGATGGACCTGATCTCAATATGCTAAACAGGAATGATGAAGAGCAAGACATTGAAAACGAACAAGATAATAGAGATGATGACGATGAAATAGTAACAAAAGATGGACCTGACGATTTCCTTGGAAGTGACTTGTTTACTGAACTACCAGAGCTAAAGGGTATAAAATCATGACAAAAGCATTAATCTAAACATGTTTTAATATTAATTTAACAAAAGTGTATGGTATTCTTTGTTTCATGCGACAATGTATAAAGCCAAAAACAATACATGCTTGACATACAATAACTATCATAATTACTGCTTAAAATGATTTAAATTTAAACAGAATTTTTTAATAAGATTGCAGATTCCAAAACTTAACATTGAACAATGCTAAATTTTGAATGAAAATGAACATCAAATTTTGTGGTTTAAGCCATGGCGATACTTATGATTTGAATGAATAATTTCATGTCTGAGATAATCATAATAATGCAACCAATGTCTTCAATTAATTGTTTTACTTATTAGCCACATTTAAATGTTTGCATATATATATTTTTATTTTTTGTAGACACCAGTATGACGAGTCTCAACTTCAACAACATGTCATTCAGTGATGCTGATTGCGAAAAAGAATCTTTCAATACACATGATACATTTATTGATCAATTTATCAATTGGTTTTTGTCTTGAAGTTTAATTTTCAGAAGAAAAGAAATCTCAAATGCATTTGGTTTTCTGCATGTTTATATTATTCTTACACAAGTTTTGTAATGGACATTACATTTTACAAGTTTGGCATGCTAATTTTAGATTAAAAAAATATTGAAATCATATTGTATTCATCAATCAGGGGTGCCTGAGGGTTTTGTTTGGGGTCTATTACTTTTTCTAACCACTATGAAACACAATAAAGGCATTGCTCATAAACCATGCAAAATTCTGATAACTTTTTTTATCTGTAGTAGGGTTAGTTTTGTTTTATCATTTAATGCATTACATATTGATGTTTTTTTTTATTTAAAGGAACCATGAAAACACAGAAAACGTTGAACATGTTCAAGAAAAATGTATTCCTTCAAGGTATGTTATTATTTGTCTGTTCTAACATTTATTATCTGTTATTTGAGGGTTATTTTTTTGCTGTATATAATATTTTTATGTAATGTACTGTACACGAATAAGGCTGTTAGTTTTCTTGTATGTAATGTTTTATTTCTTTCACTTTGTGGTTTTAGTATCTAAATTTCTCAATAAACTAAATTACATTGGTATAAATTGTGTCTATGCTGTGTAACTTTTGCTCATTGACAAAAGCTGTACAGTGACCTAAAGTTAAGATCTAAGTAAATTGTTGTCTTATTGGCAATCATACCACATCTATTTTTTTAATTTGAGTTAAAATGCCGTAATGGAACAGCCTTATTTCAGACATTTGTTTAATTGGAATTTAATCCTACCTGTTGAACTTTTACTCAATTTTTTTAACAGAAACTTTAATAATGGTACAAACATAGCTGTAAAGTTTGGTTCTAATATTAATCCAGCAGTAGTAAGTGGAGTTGAGGAACATTTGTTGTTATTTCTTTTTGGTTTTTTTTTTACGCAGTGCACCCAGAGATGATTATTTTCTGATACTATTCACATTGTCTAATTGAACACTTGACATCCAAGAGGATCAATACCTCTATAAAAAATATTAATTAGAAAGCAATTATTTTGTGCAGATTGTTTTTTACAATATGTTGGTTTTGTAAAAAAATAATCATCTCTCATGTACTTCATTTATTGCAGTTTAATATGCAATTTAGTTTGCTGCATAAACTTTCATTTTGCAATTTGATGGTCATCCTTTATTGAAATAGTCCATACTGGGTCAAGATGTGAGTCATGTGAGTACTATTTGGAAGTTTACAAATTAATGTAGTTATCAAAAGTTCTAAAGTTCAGATATAATGTGAATTAGGTTGAATGTACACAAATTTCAGTATATTTCAATGTATAGAACGGCTCTTTATTAAACACCATGAACGAAATAAAACAAAGTCCAAAGTTGGTTGTCGTTCTAATACTTTTTTATTGATATATATCATTTTTCTTAAAGGTTTCTGAATGGCCATGGATTATGTATTATAAGTATCTTAAAGATGGAAAATGGATGGATGGTGGGCCAACGTATACCATTGCAACGTCAGATGTTGTTGATACGTTGGATCCACCAGACATAAGAATGGAAGGTCATCACCTTTATTACATATATAATGGTAGGTATTCACACAACATTTCAAACATGACAAGTGTCTTAAAAACATTTTTTTCTCTTAATAAAATAAACAAAACAAAGCATGCATGTAAGTTTATTTTATATGGGATTAAACAAGTTAAATTATAAAATTATTGACTTTGTCAGTAGTATACAAATAACTGTAAAAGAGGGACAGTCAAAGTCATAAATCGAAAATAAACTGACAACGCCATGGTTAAAAAAGAAAAAGACAAACAGACAAACAATAGTACATATGACACAACATAGAAAACTAAAGAATAAGCAACACGAACCCCAGCAAACCGAGCAAGTCCAGATAATGAAGAAATCTTGCAGCTAAACCGAGCAAGTCCAGATAATGAACAAATCTTGCAGCTACCTCTAATAAAGACTTATTACACTGATTATGTGATGATTATGAACATACAAAATGTGCAAAATTTGCATATTGTTTCCCTAAGGTAAATGTGACTTTTCAATGGATCTTTATTCAAGTGAGGTTATGCTTGTGTTCTTTAAATGTTGGCCAGCATTGACAAAATGAAAGCACAGATGAAGTTTGTAGTTTTAAAATACAATCTGGTAAATGATTCTTAAACTCTGGTTTAACTTTATTGCTAATAACATAAATAAATAAAACAGGCTGCTATTTCTTTATTTCATATTTTACAGTATTTATAAATAAAAGGTCTTTTTCAAAACATTTTTTTCAAAATTTCTTTGCAGGCAATGATTTCAAGAAAGGGCCAAAGAAGATTGTTGACCTGTGAACATGGTGAACTGCGATGCAATGACTCATTTTGATTAATCATTGTTAATTAGAATATCAATAAATTGAATTAAAACTAAAATGTGTAATCTTGTTTTAAAAATATAAAACATTAGTGAATTGTCACGATTAAACGCTAAAAAAACTGCAACAGAATCCATTTGTATCTAAAGGTGTCAAGGTTCCAGACATTGTACATTGTTCTATTAATTATTGGATTGCAAGGCAAAGGTTTTTTTTGTTTGTTTTCTTTATTGAAAGACAATCATATAAAAATTAGACATTATATTCCCTAATAATTAAATGGTTGAAAAGTTTTAATTGATGTCTGTCCATGTTACATGAGACAGGCTGATGAACCATTGAAATTTTACTGCCTTCAGTCATTTTTTCTGTTCATATCAGTTGCCTTTTTGCTCATATATATTATGCTACATATGTAGATCTGTCAATATTAGGAAAGAAACAATACTCCTGCAAGACTGACAGTATTTTTAGGATAACTTTAATGCTTGATGAATTTTTTCAATTAAATGTTATGCGATTCTACACTTTTAAGGTAGCAAAATTCACTGTGTTGAATGGTTTATGATTTTTTTTTTATGAATGACAGATTGCTCATTACTCACTTTAAATTATTAAAACTCTTTGGAACCTTGAATAAGAACATGTTTGTCCATGTAACATTAAATAATGCACAAGACCTATTGAACTATGCAGAAATTAATGATGAGAGATTATCTTATCCATGGATAATATTTTTTGAATAAATACAACCCATAGCTATTAGAAAATGACTGAGACTGATGTTTTTGGCTTAGTTTTTAATTTTCAATGGTTGTCACGGCAAAATGGGCACAGAGCGAATATGTAGCCAATTACCAAATGTGGTTTGACACCCTATTTTCCACTTTTTATGGTATCCCATTTCAAATTTTTATTTTCTAAATTGTGATATTTATTATCACATTCTGATTAAGTATTTTTGACTATATCCACATAATCTGTATCTGTCAATAAACCCGAGTTGAATTTCTAGAAACCGGGACCTCTCTCACTAAAGTTTTCGCCGGACAGTGTCAATTTGATAAGACTATGATCAGTTTTAATAGACGGGACAATGGATGTTTTGGTAACACTGCTTTACAAAAAATTCGATATCAACCAAAAATCTAAGCGACATTGTATAATAGGGGTTCTTTGACGCCAAGTATATAATCTAGAATCAACATTTTTTGTCCTCCAAATACCACATAACTCAAATTCTTCTATAAAATCTTCTAATTTACTCGTATATTTGACAGGTGTGTTATATTTTGAACCACCCATTTTGTCTAAAGATGGACTTAGTATCGTATTAAAATCTCCACCCAAAACAAGATTTTGATCTAACCTTTCGTTTAATAAAATCTTGATTTTTTCAATATATTCAATTTGTTCATTTTCAAAATTTTTGGTGGGCGCATAATAATTTACCAAAAAAAATCTGTGTTATCAATTTCAACAGTTAGAATGAAATACCTTCCGTTTTCATCTGCTATGTTTTCCTTTAATTTCTAGTCTGTTGAGCTGTTAAATAAAATAGCAACACCTCTAGAGTTCGTTTTCCCGTGCGAAAAGTAAATATCTCCACCCCATTCCCTTTTCCATTTAGTTTCATAGGATTCAATACTGTGTGTTTCTTGTAAGAAAATGATGTCGCTTTGAAATTTTGTCAACCAAAGAAACATGGATTTGCGTTTAAAATCGTTTCCAAAGCCATTTACATTAAGAGAAGTTAAATTGATACAATGATAAGCCATTGTCTAGTTTTGGCTTTAAGTCTTATTAATTTCATATGTAATACACTTTACGTAGTTGAACATTATGTAACTAAGTAGAAAAAAAAATACAGAAAAACATATCAAAAATACAATACAATACAAAAAGAGAGAATTCTCTCTGTTCGGTCTGCCTGACATAAACCATATGTTTAATATTAATGTTTCTAATATTCATTGTTCATTCTCAATAAAACATGTAACTTTCATTCATTAATAACAACAATACACTATTATAGGTAAACAAATTACGGTTTAAAGTACATGTAACTTTCATTCATCCATAGCAGCAAAACAATTTACAACCTTCTACTATAGAT